GGTACACAAAGTTGGAAGCAGAGGAAATAAACTTGCCTGCTTGGGGATAATAATACTGGAGGCTGGAAAATGAGGACATTTTAAGGAGGAGATGCACTCAAATCTGGTGACTTTAGCATCCCTGATGGTCAAACTGCAGTGTGTTCCAAATAACTAGAGAAGTGGCAGTACCACCTGTGGCACCAACACCAATTATCCTGCTCTTTTAAGCACGGAACTTAAAGGAAGAGAACCCAAGTACCCTGCAAAAGCATGTGGTTCAGCTACCTATGGTTTCAGGGAGGGCAAAGATGTAGCCTCCTAGGCAGCAGTCATGGAGATGGAAGACAACGGGACCTCATATCATGCCTCTTGTGGGAGAGGCAGGGGGTGCAGTGAAGAGGTGCTGCAGCTCTGGAGATGTTAAGTTTCCAGCACACTGGCTTACCAAAGCAAATAAAGCTGAAGCATGTAGCAATGCATACACCACTTTTAAAAATTAAAACCTGCAATTGTCCTGGGGACAGTAACATGGGCTGCCTTTGGACTGCAGCAGTGCCCTTACGTTAGATGCAAGTGTGTACATACGGAGATGCAGTTTGGATTCCACAAACTGCCTGATAATCTCCAGTACTTGGAGACAAAGATTTTTTGGGTTGGCTTTTATCCTGCTGAATTGCAGGGCAAAGATCTGATCCTGAAATTTAGACAATCATCACAGCTATAAATCAGAAAAACCTGGGTTCAAATTCTGCCTGTGATATTTATTAACCCTGTGATTTTGATTAGATAACCCACATTCTTTATAAGCTTTAGTTTCCTCGTCTTTAAAATGAGGGTCATAATATCTCTTTTGCAGGACTTTTGGAGGAATTAAATATTAGGTTGGTACAAAAGTAACTGTGGCTTTTGAACAGCATGTGCATGTAGTGTTCAGTACAGTATTTGCACTAAGTAAACTCTCGATAAACATTTGCTGGACAGTAAATACGCTGATGCTGATGAGATTATCAATGTGTACACTCTGAACGCTAAAATGAGTTAGTCCCATGTCTACAATGCACAGGGCACTTGCAGGTGTGAGACCATGGGCCACTGATGCCAGATCTTTGGAAGCTCTGGTGGAAGAACCGGTTCTTTCTTTAGATACCATGACTTCTAGCTTCCTATCTTAAGGAGGCTTCAGGAAAACTGTGAAATCAGCTATAAGGTACTTCAGAAGAGGGCCAAAAATGTCATTAAAAAGATGGCAAAAATGATTTGTAGGGATACATGATTGGCTTCAAACAGAGAAGTATGAGATTCTTCATTTAATTCTAGTCTGTGGAAGCTTGGGTGAGGAGACTGCTAACCAGATGTGGTCCTATTTTCATTGCAGCTAATACAAAACCAAATGGGTTACGGATAAAGTTGGATACTTAGATATAAGTAAGAACTTGTTGACAGGAAGGGATATGAGATAACTGAACATGTGTAAAACATCTTCACCCGGAAATATGTATGATGAACAAAGATAATAGGCCACAGTTACACGTTTTTCAAAAGTAGCTGCAAAATTCTGTTCTTGCACAATATTCAGTGGCATCATTCAAATTCACCAAATATATTCAGAGTTCTCCCACTTTTCCCATCACAATAGTGATGCTTTTCCATAAAATAGAATAAGACAAAACAAAAAACCAGAAACTCAGAATGTAAAAAGAGGAGAAAGTCAAGGGAAATTCAGCTGTAAGCCCTCTCCCCGATTTCCTTTATGGCATGAACTACACTTGGGTTTTGCTAGTCTTCATTCACCAGACTTTACCCAGCTAACTGGAGTTATGGTTGTAGTTGGGGAGTGTCAGGTATAGGAATGGAAAGATGAGGAACCTGCCTGGGCAACATAGTCTCAACTGAAAACTTAAAAAAATTAGCCAAGCATGGGGGTGGTGCCTGTAGTCCTAGCTACCTGGGAGGCTGAGGTGGGAGGATGGCTTGAGCCCAGGAGGAGTGAGCCCAGTGAACTACGATTGCAATGCCACTGCACTCCACCTTGGCGACAGAATGAAATCTCATCTCACTGGTATTTCATATATTGACATTTTATCCTCAATATATGAAAAATGAAAAAGAAAGAAGTCTCACAGTCTCTGCTCTGAACTCTAAAATGAGCCCTGTCTTCTCCATGCCTGCCATGCACCTGGAGCTTGCTTCCTTCGTATTTAACTTTTCTGCCTTAGATCTCCCAGGACCCTGGCTACATGAAATAGTATTTCTGTGATCATTCTCTAACTCCCAGAATATAGGTATCTTTCCTCTATGTGGACTAGCCCAAGCCCTTGAATATTCTGAGTTATTCAAACTTCAGGTAAACTTTTTCCTACCTCTTTTATATATGGATCTCAATCTTCTTTGAATTTCTCCTAACTCATCTATACTTTCATCCTCATACTGAATAATTTCTTGTGTTCTGAAACCAATTTGTCATGTAAATGACCTCAAGGAGAAGGGGTCATTAATGATCACATACTAGCTAGTTTTGGGATCTTCTCTCTCTCTTTTTTTTTTTTTCTTTAAACCACTTAGAAGATTAACAAAGGGAAATCCAAAAGAAGAAGAAAAATGAAGGCCTAATTAGTGACATACAGAGGTGACAGAATACAACTAAAGAGACTATACTTTCAAGTGTAAAGGTACTGGGAAGGGAAATGTTTATTTCTTTATTAAATATTTAATGAGTACCTACTATGTCCAGGCCCTGTATAAGCTGCTGGGGACACAAAGCTAGTTCTGGTCCTTAAAGAACTAATAGTCTACACAGGGTTTCTCAAGCTCAGTAATACTGACATTTTGGCAGGGTAATTCGTTTGGCACGGTGGACTGTCCTGTGTAGCTGAAGGATATCTGGCAGCATGCCTACACCCACTAGATGCCAGTAGGCATCCCACATCCCCTTCCCAGTTGTGACAACCAAAAATATCTCCCGATACTGGCAAATGTCCCCTGGGGGACAAAAGTGTCCCCCAGTTGACAACCACTAGTGTAGGAAAAGCAGATCATTTATATAACACACTGTGATAAGCACTATTACCAAAACTTTGCGAGTTAGGGAAGAGGACTCCTTAATTCTGGGAGAAAGAGAGCAGATGCTACAGAAGGTTTCACAGAATAAATGACATTTTATGCTTAATATATGAAAAATGTCTTGCAGTAGGCCAAGCAGACAAGAAGAGGGAAAGTTAGGAACACATGGAAGGAACAGGGAAAGAATAGGTAGAGAAAGACCATTCGAAGTCAGATACAGGAAGATGAGCAAAGGCCTGGGGGTAAAAGACCACAGAATATTCAGGCAATGATGGACAGTTTACATGGTGGAAAATGAAAAATAAGACTGAAACCAGATCACGCCAAGTAAGAAAGGAGGTGGAATTTTAATATAAATTTAATATAAATAAAGAAATAAGTGCATACTTTAAACAGAGTGGAGCCCTTTTCCAAACAAAGCCTTACCTAGATCCCCAGTATATGAAACGGATCGAAGTGGAGCTTCTGTGGTCGGGTCATGGTCCACTCAGTTTTCCCTTAGCTTCTAAGTTAGCTTCCGAAGCACTTCTGCAGAACCCTAGCACCCTAGGACACATACTGGAAAAACCACTTTGGTAGGGAATAGGATACTACTTAAAGATTCTAAGTGCAGAATATACGTTCAGATTTGTTTTTCAGAAAAAGGCACTCTAGTGGCAGAGCTGAATATTGAGCAGGTACAAGGGGAAAAGCGTCAAGAGACAAAGACCAGTCAGCATTTTATATGCAGGTTTCACTTGGAGATCAGTCTTAAGGCTACAAGATACATGAAAAAAGCACACTGGGGTTGAAGTTGTACAAATCTGGCTTAAAATTCTAAGTGTGCTACTAATGATGACCTTGGGCGTGTTAGTTGACTTTGCCAAGCTCTATTTTCTCATTCTGTAAAATGGGGCTACCTACCTCACTTGACCACTATAAAAAAATACATGTAAATGGAGATTGGGTGCTGGCATACATAAGCACTTAGCAAATATAGATGTGCATCATCTTCTTTCACTTGGCCTCTTTATGATTCAAGTTTATTAAACCTCCCTGATCCTATGCAACTTAGAAAAGGGGGATTTAATTGCTTGCTGTTAATAACTTTTCAACTTGGTAAAGAATAGACACATAATTTTTTTTTATAAGGATATATTTTTTGAGTGACCTGTTAGCATGAGCCTCATGCTAAGAGAAGGTCAGCATTTGGCTTCCTCTTACTTTGGGATGTGCCAGGATGTCTCATAAGAGGGAGTTCAAAACAAGAGTAGCCAAAACCCAAGCACTACGTGTGTCTGCCTGGCTCAGAGAGAGTGTTTCTGGCCTACTTCAGGTTAGCAAAGCTTACATCAGTTCCACAGTTAGAAAGTCAGCAGCTAAAAACTCCACCTGTGTACAAATCTTTCAGGAGATCAAATGGTGTGAGGATTACAAAGCCTGGATTAGAAAAGCCAACTTGCAAATCCAAATTTCCCTCTATTCTTTACCATCCTGTGTCAGTAAGTACTTCAGCTGTGAATATTTATGCCCCTCTCAAGAGAAAACAATCTTTATTTCAGGAGCACTGATGTTTTCTCCTTTTCTTTCCCACTGTTTATCATCACACTGGTGACATAATGTCAGTTAAGACAAATGTCCACCATAACCAAGTGAAAGGTGCAGGGCTGGAGGATAAAACTGGGTGGAAAATTGAGAGGAGGAAGAGTTCAGCTAAGTATTTTAGGATCACACACAGTGTCTGCAACTCAGTACACTATGCCAGAAATCTTACAGAACTGGATACTTTCAAATTGTAGACAACTAGGTAGTTAATAAAAGCTTTCTGATACTCTCAAGGCATTTTTGATTCCTGTAACCCCTGTAACAGAGAATCTATCTTCTCTTACGACTGCAGATTCCCTGGACACCATTCAGCATCGCATCCACCTTTTCTGCAATTTGAGATTCTGATGTGAGGGAGAATTCAGCAGTCTTACCTTTGAACTAGGGTCCCAAAGATAAGACGAAGAAACTTCTGCATGTTTTCGGTACACAGCCATTTCCACTGTTCTGTCAGTAGCAAGAGGAGTAGATCTAGGGCTGTGTCAGCTAACGCTGTCTCTGTTCCTGAGGGACAAAATGGCATCAAGAGTAACTCAGAAGAGACCCACACTTGAGGAACATCTTTCAAGGTACTGGGTGGCACCTGTGTCTCTCTACCTTCATGCCGATCATCTGGTATTTCTGCAATCCCTCTCCACTCAAATCAAGAGATGTTTAACTCATATCTAGAAGGCTCAGTGACAGGCTCCGCATTTCTTCACATTTTTAATTAATGTTTCTGATATTGTTACCTAATGAATGTTTCTATGTTTTTAAAAGATATATATATATCTTCTAATCATATATATATACACACGTATATATATACACACACACACACACACGCACTTATTTTGCCTACTTAGTTTCTATTTCTTCTATATTTCCCCAGGATGCTGAATACTTTCTGTTCCAAATAAAAGCTCACAACTAGTGACTAAGTGCAACTGGCAAGGCCTCCTCTCTTTCCAACCTTGCATTCCACTCACCCCCACAAAGCATTATGGAAACACCAGGGGCAGAAGTGGGGAAAGATTTGGCATTCACTTTCCTGAAAAACCTCCATTACACAGAGCTGTAGGGTTAGGATTCAGGAGGCTTCAGCCTGATTTTGAGATAACATTTGGTTCTAGGAAGAACACCACACCTCTGTAAAATGCCGTAACAATTACTACATTCTTCCTGTTTCAAAGACTGGAAGGGCCACACATGAGCTTATACCCATGCTAAACTAAGGTTTCCTGAACAAATGTATTTTGTGGAAGGAAGCATGTGTTGTTTAAACCTGTCCTGGGGTTCCAATGTCACTTCTGATTTGTCTCCAAGGATGTGACGTTACAGAATGAATCTGAGATATCTGGTGCTACTGCTGTGATTAATATTATAAGTAGTATCAACAATGACTTGGTTAGTGTAGGACCAATGGGTATTCTCTGGGTCACCTTGCCCCAGCTCTCCTTGAACACGAATGACTTCTGATTTGGACAGATCTACTAGAACTGAATCATACTTCCCTCTTAACCCCATATAATATATATTTTCTTTTCTGTTTGTATTGCCAAGATTGGGAGCTGACATGTTGTTTGATTTCTAATCATCTTCTCAAAGACGGGATATTGCATTCCTTGTGAGACAGCATCATCCTGAGCCCTAGTCCTCAATTGTATGATTCTCTCAGGTTTTGCATTTGCCTGGAGCTGCCACCATGTGGTAAGAATTAGTTATAGCAGTGAAAAATAAGAAAGCAAACAAGGTACCACCAAGTCAGTTCTCTTAAAGAAAATGACGGATTTTTTTTTTTTAAATCATATGAGCATTTTGAGTCTCTCAGAGATAGAAGAAGGGTTTCAGGCCTAAATCATCCCTCTAGAGATACTATGTTCAACATGTACAGGCTGGACTTTGCCTAGAATGATATTCTTACCGCACTGCCTCCGCCCCCCCGCCATCTTTACAGTCTCTTAGAGTTCTCTGATGCTTTCACTGTCATATTACTTTATTTACTTAATTGTGAGATATGTGTGAAGGGATGGGGCTGTCAATCCCATTTTTCACAGACTTAAATTGAGGCCCTCAGAAGAGATGTCAGGTGATTTGCTCATGGTCACCTGAGAAAGAATAAGCTTTTTCCCCATTTTTGAATCCAAGATTTTGCGATCTTTTATTCTCAACAGAGGGCTTTATCTTGATGGAACCGATATACTTATTTTAAGTTCTAGTTCAGTAAACATGCTAATTAATATCTAGAGCTTTGAATTTTTCTTCTACAGAGTACACATCTGCTCTTCTCCTGGAAGGTGAACTTGCTCTGCCTCCAATGCAAATAAGGAAGAAGTAGAGCTTTCATCTCTTCTCCCTCCCTACTTTATGTTGGGTAACTAGGTGGTATCATCTGCCATGGCAGTAAATACAGAAAAAAGAATAGATCTGGGGAAATAAGACAATTTCCATCTTGAACACATTGTATTTCAGTTGCCCTATGGTATATCCAAGTGAAGATAGACAATATTCAATATTTAAGGCATCACCACACATGCGTTACAGCTGAAGCCAAGAGTACAGCTGGGGTTACCCTGGAAGAGTATGTAGAATAGGAACACTGAGCCAAAAATCAAGCTCTGGCAGGCGGATCATGGGGCCAAGAGACTGGACTAAGAAGCCACAAGAAGGGCATGAAGGAAACCAGGAAACCGGGACACTAAAGGAAGAAAGTTTCTAAAGAAATCCAAGAGTCTGATATGCCAAAAATAAGTTCAATGAGCTATCAATATTATCAGCATGATCTCGTCCTGCTGGATTAGAACTCCCTGTGTTTGTGCCCTGCTCTGCTGCTTGATTCCGCTCTGGCAACTGTGTCCTACTCATCTCTGTGCCCCAACACAGCACCTCCAACACTGGAGTTCAACACATGGCATGCTCAGCTGAATGGAACAGAAATCAAAGTTACAAACTCCAACTATCCCAAGTCCCAAGTGGATGCCACCCTGGCTCCCTTCTCCATGGGAGCAGAGACCTCGCCACTCACCTGGATCGCTGTTGCTGGGGTCTTGGGCTGGCACAGCTGCATCTGACAAGCAACTGTCCACATGTCCTTTAGGGGGCTGTTCAGGATCTTTTTCTGGGGCTTTTGTTGGCTGCATTTCCAGTGACTTTGTCTGTTTTTCAACAAAAGATTCCATCCCAGACATGGATAGGGTCTCGGACTCCTAAGAAATAGCCAGTGGCATATCACATATGGAATGCTGACAGTAGGGGAGCAAATGTGGCACTCTAGGTTTCCCTGCCTCTCCCTTGCATAAGTACCTTGGGTATAAAAGCCAACTGATGCTATGACTACTTTAGGAAAGATTTTATTTTTTACCCAAGTTGCAGGTAATACAGGCCTGCCCTGGGATTATCAAATCTGCACACATTTTCGGTCATCCATTTTTTTCCAGGAACTAGCTTTCTTTCTCATCTTGTCATCCACTATCCCAAACCCACCATGGTGGAGAAGCCAACCTGCCAAGCCAGAACTGGTAGGAATTCCAAACCACTCAGAGAAAATACTTTTAGCATAAAAGTTGGAGATCCAAAGGCTGATGAAGTCATTTAGCAGGACATTTCTGACTTAGAGAATATCTCAACTGCCTATAACTGTAGGACCAATATCTCAGATATTTTTGCCCCACATTCTTCGGGTTTTGGTTCTTACCACATTGCCTTCCTGGAGACAATAAAGAATCTTGTCTTGTGCTTCAGTCACACTTAGTGCTGGAGAAATTTTACTGGATGAGAACCTCAGCCTGGACCTGGTACAGAAACAAAGAGCAGAAACAGGATGTAATATATGGTCTTGAGCCCCACACAAAGGGCTGGCAAGTACTGATAATAAATGACAACAAGAATATCCGTACGTATTCTGGGGACCTTACTGTGGTCAGATGGTCAGAGCTGCCAGGAAAGCCTTGGCCCTGCAATCTCCCAAACAGTGTATATTCTCGCAATTCTCAATAGATAATGTAACGCATACACTAAGCTAGGTCTACAGTGCACTTGTGAAATGGCTTCTGCTAAGTAAAACTGGCATCAGTCTGCATCATGGTTATATTCCCACAGGAAAGATTAGCTAACACATACTAGGCACTCATTACAAATTTGCTGAAGATTAAACAGACAGGTGGCATAGACCAAGTTTTTATATTGCAGTTCACGGAGTATCCTTTTTGGACATCCATTTATTCCTCGTGTTCCAAATAAAACTAGAGAAGGAACTGCAAGTGATAACATCAATGTTTCAAGGGACAGAGACTCATAAGCACAGGTATCATGGTCATCCTTCAATAGATGGGCCCAGTTAAGAAAAGGTTAGGTGCTGTGAGTCTGTTATTGCCGGCCCACGAAACATAAGCACAGAGACAAAGAGTCAGACACTCAGACACACACATACACACACAGATGCTCTTTCTTCATAAGGACCAGACACAGATGAAATTTGCAGTAAGGGTACATGTGGTGCCCTTGCTTGCCACATGTTGGCTTTGAAGGCTGCCAGGAAACAGCTGGGGCCCTAGTGCAGGAGAGAGTAGCAGGAGTCAACCAGTTACTAAAATAGGCCCTGTGGGTTTCCATTCTAGCCCTTTCCTGTTTATTGCTAATATATGCAACTTCTGAGCCAAGATTTCCAGAAATGATGGCAAACAGAGATCAGTTATAAGCCTTAATTCTTAGTAGGAAAGAAACATCTCAATTTTCCAGGAAAAGAGAAAAGAGAATATCCTATTCAAAAGAGAGTATTCCTCCTAGTCAAACATCCCTGGTCAGTTGGGCCCCAGGTTCCCATGGCAAAACCAAACATTCAGCAGTGCTGCCTCTGCAGCACCACAGGCTCCTCCAGGTGGAGCACTGAGGAGCCTGGGGTCTAGCTTCGCCTAAAAACTGGTATGTCTGACCCACCTCTCTCCTCTAGGGATTGAGAATAGGGTGAGTGTTGGCTGAGGATTGGGGATCAATCTGGGAACTGGGGAAAGGTCCCTGGGTGACTGAGGGCTTCTCACTTGCCAGCCTTCTTGCCTTCTGTCTGGGACTTGCTTTCGGTCTCGGCCTCACTCAGCTCCTCTGTGGGGCTCTGGGGTTCAGAGCGAGGAAACGCTGTCTTCAAGGTGTCCACAATGGCACTCACCACCATCTGCAGGGGTCAGAGGTGCAGGGTCAGTAAGGCCATCCACATCCACAGATGGAAACTGCCAAGCAAGCAGTCGCCTCACAGCACTTTATGCAACAGGATGAGGAGAGAGGCCAGGCTCTCTAGCAAAGCCTTATCCAGTAGCAAGGTCGAATACCAGCTAATGACTTAGTGACAACTATCTTTCCTTTTTTCCATGGCCATAAATATCTTTTTCCTTGAGGAGTAAAACAAACAATGCCATGGGAAAAGAAGCCAAAACCAACAGTGAGAGAAATAAAAACCTAGGAGTTATGCGGGCTGATGATGTATCTTTCAATTTCTTTCTTTTTATATAAAAAAGTGATTTCTAGTTTCCAAATTGATAAAAACTTCATCAACATGTGCACCAGTAGAAGTACATAGGTAGGAGTATAAAGAGAAAGGAAGAGTGAAGAAGATGATCAAAAATAAAAATACAGTTTAGGGGCATAGGTAATATTAACATGCTTAGAGTAACTTACACAGAGCAAACAATCAGTTTTTCTAGTCAATTCAAACAATTTCTTTCTTTAAGTACAGAAAAAAATAACAAAAATCACTCAGGTCAAAACTAAGATATCTGGAGTTGAGTTGTTGTAACTTCTCTACTCATAAAGACCAAATAAAATAATCCTCACTGAAGATTAAGAATAACCTCTATTTCTTCAGAATGGCAAGATGACATACAGATATTTGCTAAAAAGGACAATGTACAAACGAAACCTTAAACGATCAAAGAAACAGAATGAAACATTTACTCTTCCTCTGGTGCTTCCTGCTAATTAACACTGCTGGCTCAGAGCAGCACCATGCCTTCTTTGACTCATTCTTGTCGTATTCCTCCACAAGGAGTAAGCTAGCATAGCCAAGACAAGGCTGAAGAGAGTGGTCAGCAGACTACAGTAAAGACTGGGGGAGAACAAACCAGGGAAAGAACACTGAGGATGCATGAATTTAGACAATGCAGCTTAGAAAATACAACTTGTTCTCCAGGATCACAGAATTGTACTCTGTGAGGGTGGGGAGGTCCTCATCTGTCTCATTCACTGATGTATGAACAGCAACTAGTAGAGTGCCTGGCTCAAAACAGGCATCCAATAAGTAGATGTGGAAATAATGGATCAATGATATCTGCATGGAACTCTGGGCATTTACCCAGTTGATCCCTTTTTAGTTTGTAGTTTTTTCCATAGCAGTGGATATCCCCTAACACCTACTACATGAAATTCTATTTTATTTGTCACTGTAAGCCTAGATGAGAAGAGGGAGGCTCCTCTTCCGCCAATGCGTGTTTCCCAACCTGATAAAATACACATCACTTTTGACAAACTTAAGCCTCAGACTTCTGCCCCAGAGACGCTCATATCAGTTGGTAATCACTGCTTACAAGCTCCGACATGTTACACAAACGTCCTTCTTCCTACCATCTCCATAGGTGCTGAGACAACTTCTTGAAGAAGGTACAATTCTCTCCATACTGTGTTCTCTAGTGGAGAACCATGACACCACTTTAAATCCAGCCTCGTGTCCTGTCTTACGGCTCTCTTTCCTGGGTGACCCAACACTGGAAATGACCTTTACCCTCTGAAAGACCACCCCTCTTGCCAGCTATCTGTGAAGACATAGATTGATCTTTACATGACTCCAACAGTGTAACAATACAGTAATACCCCCAGGAGATACGTGTACACTTAAGAGTGTTGGGGTACTGTTTCCCACCAGCTGTTCCCTGTGATTCAGTGAGCTGATGATTCACCCAATATTTGGCAACAGGTCTTGACAATTTGAGTCCGTGTTCTATTGACGCCTCTGTGCTGCCCCTTCCCACACCCTACTGCTCTTATTTTTCAAGCACTGCCTCCATTCTGATGAATCCTCCTCATTTATAGATCAAAACTAAAGCTGAGCACAGTGGCCCTGCTGGTACCTTGTCTATTCTAGAGACCATAAATTGTTTCTTGACAAAGGAAATGCGAGCATCTGTGTTCAGAGCAAGGAACTCCTGCACCTCCTCACTGTTAGCGATCTCCGGAATGGCACAGAGTTGCTGCAAAAATAAAACACACAAAAATTTTAAAGAGAAATTCCAGTCCCCAGATCTCTCTGCTTTGGCTTGGGTGTTCTGGGGTTAGACACCCAGGTTAAAATGAGAACAAGGCCAAAAGAGAAGGATGCTGACCTTTAGGAATGATTCTAGGAGGCTCTTACGGGCTTCTACTCTGTCACTGTCCATATTTCCAAATGGAAGATCTGGAAAGAGCTTTTTAGGACCCTTCACATCTAAAAAAAACTGAAAATATTCACTCATTTAACATTTACAGAGAGCTATTCCATATAAAACATATAAAGAAAACAGAACTGTTGAATATATTTCCTTGGATTAAAAAAAAATTTCAGGAGTTCCAAATATACATATGATCCATATGATCCACACAACACTAACTTGTTACAAGAGAGGGTTCTAAAGTGCAGAGACCCAAGTTTAAATTTGGGCTAAATCCCTACTATAATAACGATCTTAGACCATTTGTGTTATCTTTCTGACTTTGTTTCTCTTCTGTAAGATGAGGACAATGAGGGTACCTATCTCATAGGCTGATGGGAGCATTAAAAGAGCTAACATGTGTAAAGTGCTTAGGAGAGAACCTGGCACACATTTTCAAGCTTGGCTCAGTATTAGCTATTATATTAAGAAAGAAAATGCATAATATATGCCCAAACTTGTTAAACTGTTTATTTGGGTAATCACCACTATTTTTAAAAAACAAAGTAACCAGTTACTAGCTAATTCTTAGAGTGAAATTTTATTACATTAAAAAAATATTTAGAGAGGGGTGGTGGCTCACGTCTATAATCCTAGCACTTTTGGAGGCCGAGGCAGGTGGACTGCTTGAGGTCAGGAGTTCAAGACTATCCTGACCAATATGAAGAAACCCCATCTCTACTAAAACAAAAATTAGCCAGGCGTAATGGTAGGCTCCTGTAATCCTAGCTACTCTGAAGGCCGAGGCAGGAGAATCGCCTGAACCTGGGAGGCGGAGGTTGCAGTGAGCCGAGATCGTGACATTGCACTCCAGCCTGGGTGATGAGAGCAAGACTCCGTCTTAAAAAAAAAAAAAAAAAGTCCCCCGTGCCTGAGAGTTGTCAAACAGCACACAAAAGATCTGGGTATTAAAGGAAAGAAGGTGGCAACAACTTCTGTGTAATATTTTAATATTTAAGAACCACCTATCTATGAATCTGGAAAAGTTAATTTAACTCCTGACACTAACTTACAGGCACAGGTGGAAATGTGAACACTTATTTTTTAATCTTAAGCTAGATGGGGCTCCAGAACAAAGCAGTTGGCAGTAAAGGACTACCTCTGAAAGAATGTGATTGCTGCTGCCCAGCACTAAACCTCAGAACTCCTGAAGCAAACCCAGGGAGCAGAGAACCTTGAAACGGCATTCTCCTCTCCAGTCCCTCCCGTAAACCAACAGGCCAGCCAGGGTGGCTTGACGTGGGAAGCAAGTGGCAGTAGGGGTTGGGGAAACTCCTGACTTTTGATGAACTTTCGTAGATCTGGTTTCTCCTCCAGACGGGTCTGCAGATTCAAGAACTCTCGATAGCGACGATTCACGGTGTGGTAGGCCAGCTGCTGCAGGCCGCTGCTGTTTTCACCATCGAGGGCTGTCTCGTACTGTTCAATGAACAAATTGATTGACTGAATCAGCCGGGTTTCAGCAATCTTCTATTCTGGCTTTACTGACTACTTGGTCAATGGCCACATAGCAAGAGTAAGAAACTATGAACAAAGGGAGGGATGTTCCTATTCTATTCCAGAACCTCCTATATCTAATTGCTCAGAAAGTTAGAAATGAGTTTCACTCCTCCACACTACTACTTTCATCTGAAAGCTCCCTCTCCCAGATACTTCCTTTACTTACAAAAATGGCTACGTAACTATTTTTCAAATGAATATTTGAATAGAAGGCATAACATCCATAAAAATGATACTGCCTCTATCACCTTTAAATTACAGGGCTAAACATTATAAGGGGAAAACCATTTTTCCATTATACTCCCCCGTGATTATTTATATTAGTTAAGGGAAGAACAAGTAATCCAAACAGGAGATAAAAATCATTTGTTTATCTGGAATAAATTAAAGGGTATTTGTTTTGTTTCAGGCAGATTAATTTTCCTGATTGTTACTCTTAGAGCTAAACCGAATTTTTCCTAAGTACCTATCATCTGTATCATAGAAGTCACATGAAAATTGGAGATGTGATAAGGGGTCAAAGTCCGCTGTCTTCCTAAGCTTAGAGGGGTTGGTATGTGGAAAAGATGACTTACACCTCATGTTCCCCAAAGGGTGAACACCACGGCTAGCATGGAATCTGCAGCTCAGCTTGGGGGCGCGCTTCTTGACAGGGTAGTTAAGACACAATGAAACGTTGTGGGAGAAGTATATATGTGCACCCTCTCATTAGGAATAGGTTATTATTTTTTGGTTGAGGTATACTGTGGGCAAGAGATGGACAAAATGAACTCCTTGTTGGTGGGACTTGTGGCTGGTGCTTTACAATTTTTTGGAGACAGAGAGGGTATTCATTATGAGCTGATGTGAGCAAAGCAGTCTCTCAGAACAGTACTGAGGAGGAAAAGACCAGATAAGAGAGACAGGTGACAATCAGGGTGGGGCTCTCAAGCCTAGAGCATTTGGGAACTATGAGGCTTTCTGCGGAATATGTTGCTCCTCGAGGGCCAATTTCAACACTGTTATGGTTACTTCCATCACATAAACTGAAAACTATTTACTATCAGAAAGTATAATAATATTGATATACAATTTAAAATCAGTTATATGTCCATATAAAAATCTAAAACCAATTTCAAACTACTCATAATTGGCTATATTACTTTGTTCTCATTTTTTACTTTACTCTTTTCTAATGCTTAATTGAAGTAGTAGCAGATGTCAAAAACTAGCAACAACAAAAAAGAACAAATAATGGGAGAAAGACTGTGAACTTAAACATTCTATTCACCAACTTAATTTTTCTGCTAATGAGGAGGAAAAAAAATCTGCTGTTTAATGTCAGTATAGGAATAGTCATTAAAAAAAGATGAAATAACCAGAGCCAACACTTAAATGTGAGAAAGGTGCATGGCATAGGGACATCCAGAATTAGAACAAAAAGGCAGGAAAATGTTAACAAAGTTATACCAGTCATTTGAGGCTAGTCTCAGTTATTTTATGACCAGTACTGATCTGTACTTCCACAATTTGCCTACAAGGAGTGTGAGTGTGTTTGTGTGTTCACATATAGGCATTTCTAATTACTTCCATTCTGTCTTACTTGAAAATGTCATAATGTTACTTTCTAAAATGCTATGTCATGATGCAGCTGTGTCGAGCAGATCAAGGAAGGCCTTCTCCCTCTCACCTGGATTGGGAGTTCTTGGGGAGGAGTGAAGCAAGCAGGCTGTGCCTGGTGGTAGCTTCTGGACTCAAATGAGAGAAATTCAAGTGGAAGGCAAGGAAAATCCAATGGGTAGGATCTTGCCCAAGAATTTTCTAAACTTCTTCCCTGCTCATTTCTTTTTCAAAATACTAGTATATTTTGTACTTTGTTTTAGGAAGGTAGGTTATTTACCTATATCTATCTCAGAAGACAGCAAGTTTTTGACTCTTGGAGGTGTTTAAGCACGGACTTGGGAGGAACTTGACAACAGATAATATGAAGAGGGTTGGTTGGATTAGAGAGGCAATTCTCCCAAAATGGCCGTAGGACAGGCTGACTCCATGTTATCTGGAGAGTTCTATTTGAAATATAAAATAAATAAATAAAATAAAGAGAGAATCCAGGGACCCCTCCTTAGAAATTCTCATCTGAACCCATCAGTGCGTGTCAGAATCTGTATATATGCAAGGCAGCTCAAGTGATTTTGAGGTGCAGCCAAGTTTGGGAACCACTGAAAATATAACCCTCAGCACTCTAGCAGCTCTGAAGTTCCAGGATTGTTTGTGTGAGTACAGGATAAATGCTACTCTGCTTTACACATTAGCTTCAGACCATTCACAGAGATAGATGCCTATTGAGAGAAACACTTCAAACTAAGAGCGTCTCTCCCCAGAGAACATTTGCTTCACTGACTGCTTTCCAAACCCACTCCTAGCCCGGGTGAGCACCCACAGTTTTAATCCTGTTACCTTCACAGTATAGAGTGTGTATGGGTGGAATCCAGTGCCACTGTGCTCTCGGGCTGTAATGGTGCCAGTGATACGAAGGTTCTGGATGGTAACTGGGCCATCTGGACTGCTTAGGGGCTCAAAGCTGAAGGTGGTTGAGCTGAGAGGACCAGGTGGAGAGGAGGAAAGCAGAACTGGTGGCAGAGTAGGATCAAGGGAGCTCATATCATGGGTGAGATCCTTCTCTAAGCATGAGGGCCGTGAGGGGCAGGTCTTTTCTGGCCCCTCCAGCAAAGCTGTAACAGAGGTGGTAACATCTCCTTGTTCTATCTCCTTGTCTGCTGTGTCGATCTGGATCTCTGGGTAGGAATTCAGTGTGGAGACCGGCAGGCCTGTCTCTGTTTCAGTCCCTGGACCCTCCTCAGCCTCTGCTCCTTCAGATGCCTCACCATCTTTGGGTTCCAGAGCCTGGGAACCCTCTAGGGCACACAGGGCATCCTGAATCCTGTCAGAGAGAAAGTTGCCTGGAGTCATGAGCATGATGGTTTCTTTGCCCAGTTCAGACAGCGGAGACTCCAGCTCTGAGTCTTCACATAAGAACAGGGGACCTCGAAGATTTGGTTGTAGGAAATGAGATGAGTTGTTTCCTACTTTTCTTTCTTCACACATCCCACCCAAATCTCCCTCTACAGCTTCGTGGCCTTCTTCAACCTCTGGGGAGGGGCCTGCAGGACCCTCTGGCTCACTGTAACTTAGAAATACTGGGGCTGCTACTGGAGAAGTTCTCCCTTCTGGAAGCTGCTCTACCTCAGCAATCAGTGGCAGAGATGTGGGCACTGAGGGCTGTTCGGGGGCACTGGCTGGGCAAGGTGCTGGATCTCTGGCCTTGGAAAAGATACCCACGAGTACAAGGTGGATCCAGTCAGGATCTGACAGCCTGCTGATCAGTGGTAAGATTACATTGCATGTGATTAGCTCGACCACTACATGGCGTCCGGTACGAGTCTCCAAGTGGGGCTTGGGCACCAGCCCTTGAAGCAACAAATTCACAACACCACGTGTATAGGTGACTTCAGCACTGGAGCTGTGCACAGCAGGATGTGGGGCAGTAGCCCGACAGTAAGCCTCCCAGAGGTGAGAAGGCTCAGCTGGACCATTCTTCCCTGCAGTGGCCTCCTTTGCCTGAATGTAGCTCTGCAGGTGACAACGGCAGAGAATCAGAACACTCTGGGCAAGAGCATGACAGTCCATCATGCTCATCCTTCTCCGAAGCTCCTGGACCAACCCTTTCATGGCTGCCTCCATTTCCTCCTCAAAGGCTGGCTCCTGGCTCACGGAACGGTACCAGGATAACACAAAATCTCGAATAATCATCTGGATGGTGCGGTTGATCTCCTGTTCCAGCTGCCTTTCTGCCTCAGGGCATGGAGGACAGGTGGCCAATGGGATGAAGCGTTCCAGATGCAGCCGACCCGAAGCCGCTCCAGCGACGCTGGAGCCCAGCCATCCTCCCAGCACCACTAGCGATGCAGACAGAAGGCACAGCAGCCACACATTGACCAGAAGGTGTACGACCAGGAGCCAGCCGAGCAAGACCCCCACAGCCATCAGCTTCCGGCTACTCAACAGGTTACTGAGGTGACAGCTGGATCCAGCTGCAGTCTCCTGGAACGGCGGTACTGTTTCTGTCTTCATGGCTGATTGGACAAGGTGGCTTCCCCAGATGACAGCCCTCAAGATTTTCCTTCAGAGTTAGGGAGGGGGGCATGAACTGTGTCTCATATGGGGCGATCGGGGTGTTCTTCAGGGAACCGGGGCTCCGGGCCCTCAAAGTCCTACAGGCACTGCAAAGCGACAGCGGCAGCTCCGCGTCTCCCCATTGCTAACACTAACAGAGCCCTCGAACTCGCCCCTTCCAGCCGACGTGCGGCTCTGGAGGAAAACTCTGCGGCCTTCATACTGCCCCAGGCGGAGGGCCTCTTCGCGGCCTCGGGGCGGGCGGTGCAGGGCCCTGGGGCCCACGGGCACTTACACACGCAGAGGGCAGCGGCCGGCAGAGACTGGGTCCCACGCCGCCGGGAACCGCGCGCCCACACTCAGCCCCGACCTGAAGTGGGCTCATCCAGGTCCTCTCCGCTGGCCTCGGCCCGCTGCCGCCGCAAACCTCGGCGACCGCGCTCCGCAGCCCGGCCTGTGTTAAGGCTGACCGCCGGCCGGCCGCCGGCGACAGCTTCCGGGTCGACGTCGACGGGAGCGAGGCATGCTGGGAGAGCGGCCGCGCGGGCCCTGAGGAGCGGCGCTGCCCGGCGCCCTCTGCTGGAGAGGAGCCGCCCTGACGGCAGCTGCGCGCGGTAGTCTCTGAGCCTGAGCCTGAGCCTGAGCGCGCACAGGGCGCATGCTCGGCAAGAGCGGGCGCGGATTCCTGAAGCGCCACGGAACAGCCGCTTGCAGATGTCACCGCTAAGACCCAGACTTCCAGACGCTTTAAAACGCTTCCTAGTTCTGGTAATTAAATGAAGCCTGTCCGTTACTGCTTAGGCACGCCGTCAATAATCCGGTTTATTTTAATTTCATGGAGGCGTAGTTTCATTGGCCTGGTGTGTCTTAACATTTACCCGGTTTCCCCTAGAGCCAGGAGCCCGCGTCCCCAGTGCACAGCTTACCTCATTTGTTGTCAGGAATTGCAGAATATAAGGCATGAAACAATACAGAGATAGGTTTATGTTTTAAATTTCGTATACTGTATCACAAAAGCAAATTTGTGATTGAGGGTTATTTGCTGGTGGCATTACACAATCAAATATTTTGAGCATCAGCTGTCTTCAATGTGAGAGGCAGCGTGGACGAACAGAAGCAGACCTTGTCCTCTAGGATCCCCTGCTAACCGGGGAGGCCAGCGCTTTGAATGCGATTGGCTATCTAATAATGCCAGTCAGCGTGCGATATAGTAAAACACAAAATCTGACAGGAATTCAGGGGAGGAAAGATCACTGTGGGTTGCAATCGTTAAGGAGAAGCTCACAAAGAAGCTGCCTTTATGCTGAGTCCTCAAGGATGAGGGTTTCTATTCACCTCTATCTCTTCTCACTTTATCCTCCCCAAAAACATAGGAAAGGAAAGCAGAGATAGAGGTGTTCTTTCAGATAATCCTGTAATATATTTGCTTTGGAATATGCTCTATGTTGGATTGTTTTTAGTTTTAGCAAATTTGACTTCAGTTGTCTACACGGGAACTTATAGGAAGACAAAGTACTGGAAGCACTGACCAGGTGTAAAAAGTGTTAGTGTCAGTTTTGCCTGAAGCTAGCTTCCATATTCACCTTGGGCCCTAGGAGCCGTGCCTGCAGTGTGGGTCTGCTTTCCATTTAGGCATAGGATGCACATTGTTTGCACAGAGCTGCTCATCGTTGCCCCTTGTCCATCTTCTCTGTGCTGTAAGCAGTCTTTCATCATCAGGGACTACTCCCTAGATGTTTAAAGGAATCTTCAAACAAATCCCAACCCAAAACTCGGCCAACAAGAAGTGCATTGCAGCTTCCCATCTCTTCCATTGCTACTTTTGGGGCAGAGACTTCCTTTGAATACAAAAGAAGCCATCATTTAGATGTGACCCATAGTTAATGATTAACCACTTCTAAAGCAAATGGTTTGATTTAGGATCACTGTCCACCAAGCAGACTGGGCACTCCCCTGAGATGGCAGAATGTGAGTCCATGTTTTCATGGTCCATGCCTTTTCACTGCTGCCTGCCTTCCCACAGAAAAGGAACCCGAGAAGTGGGCTCTGCCCCTCTCTACCTTCCCAGACCATTCTAATGTCCTCAGGAACACTTAGAAAATGGCAACAATGCTCTGGAAAATGTCCCTGCCACCTAGATGGGAGCTAAAACAGAAATGTGAATGATGAAGGGACTAACGACAGTGCTGAAGACTTTCTGTGGCAGTTCAAAGAGAAAGTTTACTTGGCAGCATAATCTGGAGTGTTCAGGGCAGTAAGGAAGTGACCTTGCAAGTGGGCGCTATGCCACCTGACCAGATGGTCTGGAGCATCAAGGTAGCCAACAGTGCCTTCCTGATTCTGAAGCGGGTTTGATGGACATGCCCATGCACTTGTCATTTGGACGGGTGTGAGCTCCTGCCTGGGGGTCTGGGCAGGCCTCGGTCTCCAAACAGATTAATCACCGGGAGGAGGCGCGAGTCAGGACTGATGTGCCCTGGTGTGTGTATGTGGGGTGGGGAGACTTGGCCACACTACTCACCATCTGGAGACGTCCTTCCTTCTTTCCTTTTCCCTATTTCTCAAAACATTAAAGGCATAGTGCTCGAGTGTTGGAGAAAACAAGACAAATAAGATATGATACTTCTCCTCAAGGGACTCTCAGTGTAGTTAAAGGAGAGACACATAAATATATAAATGTAATGAAACATGACCACGTATGTAATGTGATGTGTTCTGATGTGTTTTAATAGAAGTGCATATAATAAAATTGAAACACAAAGGGGGTGGTCAGCTGTGGAAGGGGGTGGCTCATAGACAGTTTTCCCTTAAGTTGGGAGATGAAAAAGAATTGATTGTATTTTAGGAAATGTAGGGTAGCGAGAGCAAGGGGCAAACAGAGGAAAGGTCTTTCAGGCAGAGGCCTGCTCGTAAGAAACAGGCAAGGACCATGAGAGCAAGGGGCCCCATGACACAGGCCCTGCCGAAGCCAGCCCGCACCCCACTTCAATTTTCTCTCAAAATAGAAGGCCAGGTGGCTTCCTAAAGAGAAGCTCAGTGATGGGGCAGGTGAGTGAGAAGAGGTGATGGTATGGAATTATTGCTGTGGGATATAGAAAGGGAGCTATTGAAGGTCAGGTAAAAAGATAAAGTTGGGGCTGGGCGCGGTGGCTCACGCCTGTAATCCTAGCACTCTGGAAAGCTGAGGCAGGCAGATCAGAAGGTCAGGAGTTCAAGATCAGTCTAGCTAACACAGTGAAACCCCGTCTTTACTAAAAATACAAAAAAATTAGCCAGGTGTGATGGTGTGCACCTGTAATCCCAGCTACTCCCTTGCGTGAATCCAGGGGTCGTAGGTTGCAGTGATCCAAGATTGTGACATTGCACTCCAGCAGCCCGGGCAACAATGCGAGACTCCATCTGAAGAAAAAAAAAAAAAAAAGAGAAAGCAGGGCTGAGGGACCTATTTGTAGTGACACCAATACATATGGTTGAGTTATTTTCTCTGGAGGTGTTTAGTATTGTATTAGTCCATTTTCATGCTGCTGATAAAGACACACTGGAGACTGGGCAATTTACAAAAGAAAGAGGCTTAATTGGATTTGCAGTTCCACGTGGCTGGAGAAGCCTCACAATTATGGCGAAAGGCAAGGAGGAGCAAGTCACATCTTCCATGAATGGCAGCAGGCAAAAAGAGAAATGAACTTGTGTGGGAGAACTCTTCTTTATAAAACCATCAGATCTCATGAGACTTATTCACTATGATGAGAATACAATGGGAAAGACTTGCCCCCATGATTCAATTATCCCTCACCGGGTTCCTCCCATGACACATGGGAATTGTGGGAGTTACAATTCATGATGAGATTTGGGTGAGGACACAGCCAAACCATATCATTCTACCCCTGGCCCCTCCCAAATCTCATATCCTCACATTTCAAAACGAATCATTCCTTCCCAACAGTCCCTCAAAGTCTTAACTCATTTCAGCATTAACTCAGAATTCTACAGTCCACAGTCTCATCCAAAACAAGGCAAGTCCCTTCTGTCTATGAACTTCCAAAATCAAAAGCAAGTTAGTTACTTCTTAGATACTATGGGAGTACAGGATTGGGTAAATACAGCCATTTCAAATGGGATAAATGGCCAAAACAAAGGGGCTACAGGCCCCATGAAAGTCCGAAATCCAGTGGGGCAGTCAAATCTTAACACTCCAAAATTGATTCAAAAAGTGGGTTCCTATGGTCTTGGGTAGCTCCACTCCTGTGACTTTGCAGGGTAGAGTCTCTCTTCCAGCTACTGTCATGAGCTGGCATTGAGTGTCTGGCTTTTCAAGGTGAATGGTGCAAGCTGTTGGTCAGTCTACCATTCTGCGGTCTGGAGGACAGTGGCCCTCTTCTCACAGATCCACTAGGTGGTGCCCAAGTAGGGACTCTGTGTAGGGACTTTCACCCACATTTCCCTTCCTCACTGACCTAGCAGAGGTTCTCCATGAGGGCAATGCCCCTGAAGCAAACTTCTGCCTGGGCATCTAGGCATTTCCATACATCCTTTGAAATCTAGATGGAGTTTTCCAAACCATAGTTCTTGACTTTTGTGCACTCACAGGCTCAACATCATGTAGAAGCTGCCAAGGCTTGAGGCTTGCACCCTCTGAAGCCACAGCCTAAGCTCTACATTGGCCCCTTTCAGCCATGCCTGGAGCAGCTGGGATGCAGGACAGCAAGTCCCTAGACCACATACAACACTGGGATCCTGGCCTCTGGCTTATGAAACTATATTTTCCTTCTAGACCTCTAGGCCTGTGATGGGATGGGCTGCTACAAAGGTGTCTGACATGCCCTGGATACATTTTCCTCATTGTCTTAGGGATTAACATTTGGCTCCTTGTTACTTATGCAAATTTCTGCAGCTGGCTTGAATTTCTCCTCAGAAAATGGGATTTTCTTTTCTATTGCATTGTCTGGCTCTACATCTTCCAAACTTTTATGCTATGCTTCCCTTATGAAACTGAATGCTTTTAACAGCACCCAAGTCACCTCTTGAATGCTTTGCTACTTAGAAATTTTTTTCTGCCAGATATCCTAAGTCATCTCTCTCAAGTTCAAAGTTCCACAAATCTCTAGAACAGGGACAAAATGTCACCAGTCTCTTTGCTAAAACATAACGAGGGTCACCTTTGCTCCAGTTCCCAATAAGTTCCTCATCTCCATCTGAGAACACCTCAGTCTGTATTTCATTGTCCATATCATTGGCAGTATTTTGGTCAAAACCCTTCTACAAGTCTCTAGGGAGTTCTAAACTTTCCCACATTTTCCTGTCTTCTTCTGAGCCCTCCAAACTGTTCCAACCTGTGCCTGTTACCCAGTCCCAAAGCTGCTTCCACATTTTCAGGTATCTTTTCAGCAGCCCCACTCTACTGGTACCAATTTACTGTATTAGTTCCTTTTCATGCTGCTAATAAAGACATACCCGAGACTGGGCAATTTACAAAAGAAAGAGGTTTAATTGGACTTACAGTTCCATGTGGCTGGGGAAGCCTCACG